AATATATAATAATAATTATATAATAAATAATAATAATAATAATATAATAATAATAATTATTATTATTATTACATTAATATGTAATAATAATAATAATAATTATAATAATATAATAATAATAATAAAATAATAATAATAATAATAATAATAATAATAATAATAATAATAATAATAATAATAATTAATAATAATAATAATAATAATAATAATTATTATTATTATTATATATCATTAATAATAATAATAATTATTATTATTATTATCATTAATAATAATAATAATTATTATTATTATTATTATCATTAATAATAATAATAATAATAATAATAATAATAATAATAATAATAATAATAATAATAATAATAATAATAATTAATAATAATAATAATAATAATAATAATAATATATGATGTTTTTTTTTTTTAAAAAACCGACAAGCTGAAGAATTGAGTAGCTTATACAGCATACGGGAATCTTTTTGAAGGAACGTTTAGCCACACAGTAGTTTCATCAGTCTTACAGAAAGTAGAAATGAGTCGGTTTTCAGAAGCATTCATCACATCTGTCAGACACTACAACATGACGGGATCTTGGTACAAAGAATTCTTCAACACTTGTCCAACCTTTGGACGAAGACCAACTTACACTAGTGGATGGTACCACTGTGATCCCACTGCCTCCTGCTTACACTCACCTGACTACAGTACATAAGCCACTTCTCTGGCCCTATGCTGTTCTGTCTACAACACTCATGGACTCAACACATCGACTCCAGGCTGGGGGACTGATTACCTCAACTTCTCCTCTCCTTACCCATTTCTACTTTGTATTGGACTGATGAAGCCACTGTGTGGCGAAACGTTCCTTCAATAAAGATTCCCATGTGTTGCATAAGTGTCTCAGTTCTTCAATAATAATAATAATAATAATAATAATAATAATAATAATAATAATAATAATAATAATAATAATAATAATAATAATAATAATAATAATAATATCATTATTTACTACCAGTACATGTACAAGGTATACAGACCATAGCTGACATCAATGACATACTACTACATAGAAAGCCGCTTGTTATGCTGAGCATTTCCCGCAAATTATGTCAGTTTTGTCCCAGGATGCGACCCACACCAGTCCACTAACACCCAGGTACCTATTTTGCTGTTGGGGAACATAGACAACATGTGTAAAGAAACACGGCCAGTGTTTCTACCCTGGCTGGGAATCGAACCCAGACACTCGCCGTGTGAAGCGAGAACTTTAGCCACCAGGCCACCTAAAAGTCAGTACGAGTTGAGAGCATAAAACAAGGTGGTGTTTTGAAGTCTGTTTCGTTCCTGATGTCGTTAATGATTTTTTTGTTCCTCTTTTAAGTATTAGATCAATCCTTGCTTGTTCCTTGGCTCAGTTGGTAACGCGCTTAGCTTACATACCGAATCTCCGGGGGTCGATCCCCAGCACGGGTGAAAACTTTGGACATGTTTTTTTTCACTTGCTGTTCCTGTTCACTTAGCAGTAAGTAGGTACCTGGGTGTTAGTCACGTTTTACCTGCTACCCCTGCTCACCTAGTACTAAGTAGGTATCTGGGTGTTAGTCACGTTACACCTGCTGCCCCTGTTTACCTAGCACTAAGTAGGTACCTGGGTGTTAGTCACGTTACACCTGCTGCCCCTGTTTACCTAGTACTAAGTAGGTATCTGGGTGTTAGTCACGTTACACCTGCTGCCCCTGTTTACCTAGCAGTAAGTACGTACCTGGGTGTTAGACATCTTACACATGCTGCCCCTGAATAGGTACCTGGGTGTTAGTCGACTGGTATGGGTTGCATCCTGAGGGGTGCATTAGATAGGGCTGGGCTAGAGTTTTATGACTCTCTGATCGCGGGTTCTATCCCCGCCCGTGGTATGTTTTTTTTTTTTTAGGGTGGCAGCTTTTAGCCTGAAAAATTGATATTAAAAAAAAATAACGGTTGTGTTGGTGACCGTAACGACAATTCTTCAATGAGCACTTCTAACTAGGCAAAACTAATCCCTAAACCCACGAGGGCCGTACAGCGCTGCACCACATCACGCAATTTCAAGTTTTCTGTGCACCTGGGGATACCTGTAGAGGGTTCCGAGGGTCACCGCCCCCGGTCTGTGCTCAGACCTCTGCAACACAAGTGTTCTCAAAATTTGTTAAGTTATACCAAGAATTAATGAAAGATCCTGGACTTCACCTTACGGAAGTAGGCAAAGTAAATACAATAGTAATTATGGACAAGGTAGATTATAGGGGAAAAATGAACATATTAGAAGACAGGTACATTTAAGTGCCCTTTAACACCTTAATACACGAATACAAGAAGGTATGCAGGATGTACATCTGTAGATGAATGGTTCAGAGAACCGACATGGTGGTAAATTAGACACATGTGCAAACACTTGGGTATCTTTATTGAGGAAACGTTTCGCCACACAGTGGCTTCCTCAGTCCAATTTAGTTAGTTTAATATGTTTATTATGCACCCCATACCCATCCTGTGGGCGGTAGTCAAAAGATTAAAGAGGTACATAATGGGTCCAGGGACTGGGCCTCAAAGTTTTGATAGCTGAGCAAGTTACAGAGGTAATGAATTCACAATTTACAAAGGTAATGAACTCACAATTTACAAAGGTAATGAACTCCAGGTAGGTCTAGTCACAATCATGACAAGTTACAAAGGTATTTACAGATTACAGAGGTACACAATGGGTCCAGGGACCGGGCTCCAAAGTTTTGATGGCTGAACTGGGTACAAGTCAGTCCAATTCAGAGAGGAATTCACAATATAAAGAAAAGCGTATGGGTAATCCACAGAGTCAGACATTCACAGCTTATGGCATATCAAGGTGTCTAAACCTTTATTAAGGAAGAGGACAGAACCAGAAGATGATGTCTAGAAGCTGCAGTTATTAGAACTCAAAACACTATTGAACATAACCACGGTACTTCAGGCTTAGTTATACCTCTAGCACAAATCCTCTTCCATGGGCTCACGAAATCGTAATGACACGATTGCAAACAAACCATACCACGGGTGGGGATAGAACCCGCGATCAGAGAGTCTCAAAACTCCAGACCGTCGCGTTAGCCACTGGACCAGCTAGCCACAATAAGATTCGTCCAACTAGGTATATTTCTACACCATAGGAAGGTTAGCATAGGCACCACTGTGACCACAAATGCAAGTTTTTACAGACGAATCTCCAGCTAGCGTGGCCGTGACGAACTCTAGCTCAGGTCCCCCTCAAAGCCGTCAACATGACTCACGAAATCGTGGTATGGTTTGCAAACAAACCATACCACGGGCGTGGATAGAACCCGCGAGGGGACTTGAGCTAGAGTTCGTCACGGCCACGCTAGCTGGAGATTCGTCTGTAAAAACTTGCATTTGTGGTCACAGTGGTGCCTGTGCTAACCTTCCTATGGTGTAGAAATATACCTAGTTGGACGAATCTTATTGTGGCTAGCTGGTCTAGTGGCTAACGCGACGGTCTGGAGTTTTGAGACTCTCTGACCGCGGGTTCAATCCCAAGCCGTGGTATGGTTTGTTTTCCTCTTCCATGGACATTAACTTACCCATGACTAAATAACTTTCCAAGCATAGAATCAACGAATTGGCCATTTTCATTGAACCTTAACTCTCATTACTGACCTAGAAGCCTTGACCTTTGAATATCCCTTGACCTTTGATTTTCACTCTCATACCGGCTCAGTCAGCCACCGACCCTTGACCTTGTCCACACTGAAATTTATCCACTGACCACTGAGTCAGTCTATTCATGTCTCTAAATACATAGTCATGGAAGCAACACGTTGACCTTATCTGATGTCGTCTGCGACCTTTGTAGTTTTTTATCTTATTGTTTTTCTGTATAAAGATAGATGATGTAGATTCAGCTCAGGATTGAGTGGAGATATCAATGCGCTACCCCACTCGTCAATGCGCTACCCCACTCGTCAATGCGCTATCCCACTCGTCAATGCGCTACCTCACTCGTCAATGCGCTACCTCACTCGTCAATGCGCTACCTCACTCGTCAATGCGCTACCCCACTCGTCAATGCGCTACCTCACTCATCAATGCGCAACCCCACTCGTCAATGCGCTACCCCACTCGTCAATGCGCTACCCCACTCGTCAATGCGCTACCCCACTCGTCAATGCGCAACCCCACTCGTCAATGCGCTACCCCACTCGTCAATGCGCAACCCCACTCGTCAATGCGCAACCCCACTCATCAATGCGCAACCCCACTCGTCAATGCGCTACCCCACTCGTCAATGCGCTACCCCACTCGTCAATGCGCAACCCCACTCATCAATGCGCAACCCCACTCGTCAATGCGCTACCCCACTCGTCAATGCGCAACCCCACTCGTCAATGCGCAACCCCACTCGTCAATGCGTAACCCCACTCATCAATGCGCAACCCCACTCGTCAATGCGCTACCCCACTCGTCAATGCGCTACCCCACTCGTCAATGCGCTACCCCACTCGTCAATGCGCAACCCCACTCGTCAATGCGCTACCCCACTCGTCAATGCGCAACCCCACTCGTCAATGCGCTACCCCACTCGTCAATGCGCAACCCCACTCGTCAATGCGCAACCCCACTCATCAATGCGTTACCTCACTTGTCAATGAAGAACTCCAGTCAGTTAATAACAACTGGATATTAATAGTCACTAATAATTACAAGGATAAAGGTCGTCTCTTGAACGATAAGTATTCAACCGAATATTAGCCTTGTTTATGGCACCTTGTGTGTGTGTGTGTGTGTGTGTGTGTGTGTGTGTGTGTGTGTGTGTGTGTGTGTGTGTGTGTGTGTGTGTGTGTGTGTGTGTGTGTGTGGCACTAATCTTGATTCATGGTGAATTAGCTATTTTTTTATCAGAAATTTTACGATATCCCTAATTTAGGAAGGTGAAGGGTATTGATGGATCTACAGGTATTGATGGATCCACAGGTGCTGTTGATGGGTCTACAGGTGCTGTTGATGGGTCTACGAGTGCTGTTGGTGGGTCCACAGGTGCAGTTTCCAGCAGGCGACGAGCTTCTCCACAGGTGTTGACCAGCCCAGGCCACTTCCAAGGTCACCCAGGCGACTCCATCGCATTGCCTTGCTCCATCAAGAATGTCGGTGAGCCTTGGCCTTGCTTAGAGGGCAATAAACAAGTTTTTGTATTATACCTAGCTACTGCTACTGTCTTTGTAACTAACATCCAGTTGCTAAGTTGTCCGGTGTATCCAGGATAGAGGGCTATTGTGGTCCTTTGAATCCCACGAATAGGAAGCTGTCATGTCCCTTGAAACCTCTGGAATAGAGAGCAATTATGTTTTTTGAAACCCCTGGGATGGGCAGCTATTATGTTCTTTGAAACTCATGAGTAGGTAGTTATTATGTGCCTTGAAATCCCTGGGACATACATCTGTTATGTTCCTTGAATCCGCTGAAACAGACAGCCATTATGTTTCTTGAAGCCCCTGGGATAGTTAGGTGTTCCGTTCCTGGAGACCCTGGGTATGGAAATATAAACACACATGCAGTATAATGTGATCCTTTATTGACAACGTTTCGCCCACACAGTGAGCTTTTTCAAGTCACAAACGGATCTATCTGGGGTGGAAGGTACGCGAGTATTTATAGTCAGGTTCAGAATGCTGAGGTCAGGTGGAGAATGCTGCATCTGATGATGTACCGAGTGGGGTTATAAAGACTAAAATCTTGGGTAGCTTGGAAAGGAGATTGGATAAGTTTGTGAGCAGACCTTCTACAGTGTTCTTATGTGGGATAGCGATGGAGAAGTTTCTTAGCAAGTGGTTCAGCTATGTTATAGAAGCCACTATTCTGGTTGAAGTTGTCGGATATAGAAATAAGTGATGATTCTAGGATTCTTCGGTATTGAGTGTTGTCTTCTGTGGCGATAAGTCTTGAGTTTCTGTAGTTTATCAAGTGGTTGTGTGAATTACGGTGTTGTACACAGGCATTCCTTGTATCGTCAGACCTGCTTGCGTATTGGTGTTCTGAAATACGTGTTTGGAGGTCCCTTGATGTTTCGCCCACGTATAATTTGTTGCAGTCATTACAAGGGATTATGATAATTTAGATACATGTGCAACTCGTGGGTATCTTTACTGAGGAAACGTTTCGCCACACAGTGGCTTCATCACTCCATACAAAGGAGAATCTTGAAGAACAGGAGGAGAGTGAGGTAATCAGTCCCTCAACCTTGAGTCGATGTGGTCAGTCCATGGACTGACCACATCGACTCAAGGTTGAGGGACTGATTACCTCACTCTCCTCCTGTTCTTCAAGATTCTCCTTTGTATGGACTGATAAAGCCACTGTGTGGCGAAACGTTTCCTCAATAAAGATACCCAAGAGTTGCACATGTGTCTAAATTATCAACATGTCGGTTCTCTGAACCATTCATCTACAAACAAGGGATTATGTATACCCCTGCAGAGGGTGGAAGCTTGTCCTGTCTATCACTGGTAATGTCCTTGATGGTTGTGGTTGTGGAGGTAGATACTTGGAATGAGGTATTGGAAAAGATGTTGGAAACGTGTTTGGCAATGGAGTTGGTGGGGAGGACTATGTATCTCTTCTGGGCAGTGTCTTCTCTGGGTGTGTTGAAGATGTTTAATGCCCGTCGTCTGCAGTCTCTGATGAAGTGACGATTATAGTGCATTCTTCCTCAAGAAACTCATTGCTGCAGATTCTGAGTGCACGCAGGAAGGAGCCTATAATTACACCACGTTTAGTTTTGGTGTCGTGGTGAGAGTAGAAGTGGAGAAGATCGTTTTGGATGGTTGGTGCTCCCCACCAGCTCTCAGGAATTCTCGCAAAACACCTCTCTAAACTCTTGGGCACTATCAGTCCAGCACATCTCAAACACTCGGGTGATCTTCTCAATCGCATTCGCAACATCAACATCAAGAACAAGAAACTTTCCAGCCTTGACGTGACTTCCCTATTCACCAAAGTACCTACTACACAAGCCATCGATCTCATGCGCAGAAAAATTGACGATTCACTTGATCTTCCTATTGCAGCCAGCGATTTCATCGACCTTGTTGAACTATGTGTTGGCTTTACGTGTTTCTCTTTCGAAAATCACCTCTTTCAGCAGACTTTTGGACTACCCATGGGTTCGCCACTCAGTGCGGTCCTGGCGAACCTGTACATGGAACATCTAGAAGCCGAACGTTTCTCCACCATTATTCTTTCGTCTGTCACCTGGCTCCGTTATGTTGACGACATTCTTCTCATAACTCCTAGACGCTTCAACGTTCAAGCTCTCCAAGACAAGCTCAACCAGGTCGAGCCTTCAATCCAGTTCACACTTGAAGAAGAATTCGACAACACTCTTCCTTTCCTTGATGTTCTTCTCTGCAAAGCTGACCATGAACTTCATTTTAAAGTCTATCGAAAACCCACCAACCAAAACGATCTTCTCCACTTCTACTCTCACCACGACACCAAAACTAAACGTGGTGTAATTATAGGCTTCTTCCTGCGTGCACTCAGAATCTTCAGCAATGAGTTTCTTGACGAAGAATGCACTATAATTGAACAAGTATTTTCTAAACTCCACTATCCTCGTCACTTCATCAGAGACTGCAGACGACGGGCATTAAACATCTTCAACACATCCAGAGAAGACACTGCCGAGAAGAGATACATAGTCCTCCCCACCAACTCCATTGCCAAACACGTTTCCAACATCTTTTCCAATACCTCATTCCAAGTATCTACCTCCACAACCACGACCATCAAGGACATTACCAGTGATAGACAGGACAAGCTTCCACCCTCTGCAGGGGTATACATAATCCCTTGTAATGATTGCAACAAATTATACGTTGGCGAAACATCAAGGGACCTCCAAACACGTATTTCAGAACACCAATACGCAAGCAGGTCTGACGATACAAGGAATGCCTGTGTACAACACCGTAATTCACACAACCACTTGATAAACTACAGAAACTCAAGACTTATCGCCACAGAAGACAACACTCAATACCGAAGAATCCTGGAATCATCACTTATTTCTATATCCGACAACTTCAACCAGAATAGTGGCTTCTATAACATAACTGAACCACTTGCTAAGAAACTTCTCCATCGCTATCCCACATAAGAACATAGGAATGGAAGAACACTGTAGAAGATCTGCTCACAAACTTATCCAATCTCCTTTCCAAGCTACCCAAGATTTTAGACTCTATAACCCCACTCGGTACATCATCAGATGCAGCATTCTCCACCTGACCTCAACATTCTGAACCTGACTATAAATACTCGCGTACCTTCCACCCCAGATAGATCTGTTTGACTTGAAAAAGCCTACTGTGTGGGCGAAACGTTGACAATAAAGGATCACATTATACTGCATATGTGTTTATATTTCCATTGTGTCGGTATTTTATACCATTTATTTCGACCCTGGGTATACAACTTGTCATGTTCCTTAAAACCCCGGGGACAGATAACTGTTGTATTTCCATGGGTCTCTGGGACAGACGATATTTTCTGTCTACCAGGTTGATTTTCCAACACAGGACTCATATGCTCTTTGTTTCCAAGCAATATTCCGCCCGTAGTTTGATTACATGTATTTAACTTGGTTATTGTATTTTAAACATGTTTGGTACATGAGTAGTTTAAGAGTTTGGAAATCATAAAAGGGAAGGGGAAAAACGTGCTTGATCTGTTTACAATAGACGGTAATTTTCTCCTCTATAACAGTAGTCGTAAATAGATCTTACAGCTGTTTACGTGGCAAGCCAGTGTCTGTAAGGTGAAAATTAGACACATGTGCAACATCAGGTTATCTTTATTGTAGACGTTTCGCCATCCAGTGGCTTTATCAGTACAAATTCAAGGACATAATTGGAAGACAGTAGAACTATATACAGAAGATGAGGTAATCAGTCCCTCAGCCTTGGAGTTGTAGATGAATGGTTCAGAGAACCGACATGTTGATAAATTAGACACATGTGCAACTCTTGGGTATCTTTATTGAGGAAACGTTTCGCCACACAGTGGCTTCATCAGTCCATACAAAGGAGAATCTTGAAGAACAGGAGGAGAATGAGGTAATCAGTCCCTCAACCTTGAGTCGATGTGGTCAGTCCATCAATCTTGAATAGAATACGGCATATGTGCTGAGAAGGAGCTTATAAACCTCAAGGTTGAGGGACTGATTACCCCATTCTCCTTCTGTTCTTCAAGATTCTCCTTTGTATGGACTGATGAAGCCACTGTGTGGCGAAACGTTTCCTCAATAAAGATACCCAAGAGTTGCACATGTGTCTAATTTATCAGCCTTGGAGTTGAAGACCAACGTCTACAATGAACATATCTGGATGTTACACATATGTCTAATTTTCTTCTTGTCGGTATACAATACCGACAAGATGAAAATGTCTGTAAGGTATTCTACTGTCTGTAAATATAAGAACATGAGAATGGAGAAACACTGCAGGAGGTTTATTGGCCCGTACTAGGCAGGTCCTTCTCAAACCCAGACCCAGTAAACAAGAATATTTGCCCAACCCATTTTCAGTGAGGGACTGACCGCCTCAAAACTGTCTTCAAGGGTGATAGACTGATTACATCGTCTCATCATCTCTATTGCTTCTGCTGACTCCTCTGTTCTCAACTGAAGAAGCCTACTGCATAGGCGAAAGGTTTCGGAATAAAGTTACCTAACTGTTGGACATGTGTCTGATTATTCTACTGATTGTGTTGTAACCAGTGGTCCAGGAGGTACCTAGCAGTCTGGTAACGCTGTGCCTTTCTGGTACCTGTCCGTAATTCACTTTGTGCTGGAATTTAGACCTGGGTAACCTCCTGTTATGTGCCAGCCTGTTATATTTCTGGTAATCTAATGTATGCTAGGTATAACCTGTCTTAAGTCTGGAGGAAAAACTGTCTGAGAGAACTCGTTGTCTGCATAAGTACATATACAAAGGAGTTGAAGATGGTTGGTATGGGCAGGACTGGACCTGCCCACATCCACCACTCCCACCTGTCTACACCCACCACACCCACGTACCCACACCCACCACCCCCTTGCCTACAACCCACCACACCCACCTGCCCACACCCACCTGCCCACTACCCACACACCACCTGCCCACACCACCACACCCACCTGCCCACACCCACCACACCCACCTGCCCACACCCACTACACCACCTGCCACACCCACCACACCCACTCTGTCCCACACCCACACTGCCCACACCCACCACCCCCACCTGCCCACACCCACCACCCACTCTGCCCACCCACCACACCCACCTGCCCACACCCACCACACCCACCTGCCCACACCCACCACACCCACCTGCCCACACCCACCACACCCACCTGCCCACACCCACCACACCCACTCAAGTTATCTGTTTGACCTTTTTGACAAATCAGTCAGTATAAACTTGCCTGGTGATACCAGTTTGTTCCTCTCTTCTATAATCTAATTACCAATTAGTTCGTTCCTAAGTCATTCTAGAACTGAGTTGATCTAACTTTTGAATTCTTTGTCTAGAGATTTGTTGTTGCCTATATATGTTTTTAGGAATTTGAATTTATTTATTACGTCTGGTCACAGACCGGGCCGCGGGGGCGTTGACCCCCGAAACTCTCTCCAGGTAAACTCTCCAGGTATTAATATCCATCATCTGTGCATTTCAGTTATATCGTCTCCCTCTCTCTCTCTCTCTCTCTCTCTCTCTCTCTCTCTCCTTTTCTGTCTACGGCAGAAGTGTAAATAGGTGGATTATTATAATTAAAACTAAGTTCTTAACCCACAAGGGTCGCAAAGAACTGCATACATAAGTGAACATCAAAATGGTATACAATACCGACAGGTTGGTAGGTAAGACACATAGGCAACAGTTAGGCAACTTTATTCCGAAACGTTTCGCCTACACAGTAGGCTTCTTCAGTCGAGTACAGAAAGTAGGCAGGAGCAGTAGAGACTTAAAGATGTTAAGTCTCAACACTGTCGCTTGATCTTCAAATAGTTTCAGACTAGGGAACAGAACTCTTCTCCAGGCTGAGGGACTGACAACCTCAAATCTACGACTTCAAGGATGATGGACTGATTACATCGTTTTCACATTTCTACTGCTTCTGCCTACTTTCTGTACTCGACTGAAGAAGCCTACTGTGTAGGCGAAACGTTTCGGACTAAAGTTGCTTAACTGTTGCCTATGTGTCTTACCTACCTGCATACATAAGTGTAAAAAGACACTTATCCACACTTTTTTGCACAACTTGTTGGTGTCAACCTAACATTTACTCTCTGTAAGTTCAGTGTTCTTAATCTGTCATCATAGGAAAGATTTCTCAAAAAGCACATTAATTTTATTATCCATCTGTGTATGTTTTCAAACACAGTCATGTCGGAAGAAGAAGCCCGGCGCTCGGGCTTGGGCTAAAGCTGGGGTGTGGCTCCAAAAGGATCCTGTAGTACTTGCTGCCTTTGCACCTGTTACGGTTCAAATCTTAATCTTTAGCCACCGAGCTATCAAGCCGCCCTTTGAGCCCCGTGGGGGCGGGATAAGTGGATAATGCGCCACCGAGCTATCAAGCCGCCCTTTGAGCCCCGTGGGGGCGGGATAAGTGGCAGCACAGCTGTGAGCATTAGGAATACTCACACCAGCGTACACCACTGAACATAGACACCACGGTAAGCAATGTGGGAATGATCAAGGAAACTGCGTGACCCACTCCTACCAAGAGGTGCAGAGTCCAGAGTTACACCCTGTAGAGCGAGGAGAAGTTGAGATGTAGTACTCAGTGAAATTGCGACCACGGATCCCTCATTTAACCCTCTCTGCAGCTCACATACTGCACCACTAACGAGTCATCTCCAGGAATCTGTCTCGTCTCTGGCTATTTGTTAGTTATATAGACTCTGTATTGGTCGAGTATGGTTTCCCTGGTGAGTTCGAGACCTTCCTCTCGTTCAGACTTAGTGGGTTCGACGTTCTGCTGCCAGACCGTGTACTGGCGAACAACGAAGTCATGACGATTCAATAGTACAGAGATAAAGTTACGCTACATAATCCACTCCAACTGATGTCTCAGCAACGATGGATCAAGTTGCAAAAATAGCCTTGGAATTTATATTACTCGTATTTCTTGAGCTATAACCAAGCATGAGAAACACCTAGAATGAGACACATTATGAGGGACTTTATCAATTCTTCCCATAGTGAGAATTAAGTCTCTAATGGACGAATCTCATAAAAATGACGTAAACAGGTTACTGTGTCCTATTAAAGCACTTGTCGGTATATAATACTATTGTAGAAATCCAATTTTTTTCCTTTTATATTTATATATATATATATATATATATATATATATATATATAATATATATATATATATATATATATATAAAGATATATATATTTTTAATTTATATTTATGTAAATATTAATAATTTTGTACCAAAAGTACCTTAGAAAACTTACCTGACCTTATTATAACAAGCGCAATTTAATTTAGCCTAATCCAACTAAATATATTTTAGATAAGTTTACAATAATTTAATAATAAACAAACACAATGAAATATATTTTTTTCGTTAGGTTCAGAATGATTTTTGCGAAATTATTGCATACACAGATTTTAGCTTGCTTTATTCGGCAAGAAGAGCGTTGCTATTTAAGCCCAAATCGCAAGTTTTACCTATTCGGCACGACATATACATACCTTGTAGTCAGTTCTTGTATGGTTCACAAGATCACCATCTAGTCTGGTTCACAATATCACCATCTACTCTGGTTCACAATATCACCATCTACTCTGGTTCACAAGATCACCATCTAGTCTGGTTCACAAGATCACCATCTAGTCTGGTTCACAAGATCACCATCCAGTCTGGTTCACAAGATCACCATCTAGTCTGGTTCACAAGATCACCATCTAGTCTGGTTCACAAGATCACCATCTAGTCTGGTTCACGAGATCACCATCTTGTGTGGTTCACAAGACCACCATCTTGTCTGGTTCACAAGATCACCATCTTGTCTGGTTCACAAGATCACCATCTAGTCTGGTTCACAAGATCACCATCTAGTCTGGTTCACAAGATCACCATCAAGTCTGGTTCACAAGATCACCATCTAGTCTGGTTCACAAGATCACCATCAAGTCTGGTTCACAAGATCACCATCTAGTCTGGTTCACAAGATCACCATCTTGTCTGGTTCACAAGATCACCATCTAGTCTGGTTCACAAGATCACCATCTAGTCTGGTTCACAAGATCACCATCTAGTCTGGTTCACAAGATCACCATCTAGTCTGGTTCACAAGATCACCATCTAGTCTGGTTCACAAGATCACCATCTAGTCTGGTTCACAAGATCACCTTCTAGTCTGGTTCACAAGATCACCATCTTGTCTGGTTCACAAGATCACCATCTAGTCAGGTTTACAAGATCACCATCTAGTCTGGTTCACAAGATCACCATCTTGTCTGGTTCACAATATCACCATCTAGTCTGGTTCACAAGATCACCATCTAGTCTGGTTCACAAGATCACCTTCTAGTCTGGTTCACAAGATCACCATCTTGTCTGGTTCACAAGATCACCATCTAGTCAGGTTTACAAGATCACCATCTTGTCTGGTTCACAGGATCCAGACGAGTGAACTGGGTGAAGGGTACCTCAGCCTCCGGCCGGAGGCCCATTATGCAGGTGAAAAAGGCAAGAAGAAAGTTCATTATTCCCAAGCCATACCGACGGATCATCCGCGAGGGCAAGCTAGGCACTGCAGGCACTGACCTTGTCATCCACCACCTGACACCAGAAGACACTGACAGCTACACTTGCAGTATAGCTCGACACAGAGTCACTCACACCCTCCAGGTCTTAGGTGAGTGAGAAATGTAAACAGTTTTCTGTGGGACTATATATATTCTATATATATATATACATATATATATATATATATATATATATATATATATATATATATATATATATATATATATATAAAATTATATATATATATATATATATATATATATATATATATACCTAGTTGGTTGAATCTTATTGTGGGTAGCTGGTCCAGTGGCTTACGCACTGGCCTAGAGTTTGACGACTCGCTTGCCGCGAGTTTAATCCCCCCCTCCCCGTGCCGTTGTTTATATCAATCAAGTTTACCGTCTTACTTGTATAAGGACGTACGACAGTCGAGGGGAAAAAACACGAATGCATTCACTTAGGACAATTACCGAGGACGCATCGGTCCTTAGGACTTGATCACCTCAAAATCATCTGCATTTGAAGTGATCACGTCCAAGGACCGTCCAAATTAAGGGTGTCCGTTTCCCCTTAAGTTGACGGCAGCCATTTGCCACCTTGCTACACTTAACTGTTATTATATCTAATGCTTTCTGATGAGTCGTGACCTCGTCAGAGGCTGAGAGTGTCGTAGAGGAGCCATCACCTTACATCATGGTAGTGTACGACCCGCCCACCATGAGGGCGTATGTAGTCGAGGGCGAAACGACCACTCTCTCCTGCGAAGCTAATGGACACCCCGCCCCTACCGTCCTCTGGCGTCGTCAGGTATGTTTATTATTATTATTATTATTATTATTATTATTATTATTATTATTATTATTATTATTATTATTATTATTATTATTATTATATATTATTATTATTATTATTATTACATTATTATTATTTATTATTATTATTATTATTATTATTATTATTATTATTATTATTATTATTATTATTATTAAATGAGACTTTTTTTCCCAGTGACTTTTTTTTCCTAAGCAAAATTGTGACTTATTTTCTGTGAGTTATTTTCCGGGCACCCATTACTCATGTACCTTGTGTACCTGTGCATTGTACCTGTGTAACTTGCTCGTGTACCTGTCCAACCTAGTTTTAAAGCTACACAAAGTTCTTACCTCAATAACACTACTTTGGTAGGTTGTTCCACTTATCTACAACTCTATTGCCAAACCACTGCTTTCCTTAATCATTTCTTAACTTAAGTTTATCCACCTTGAATCTGTTCCTATGAGTTCTGTCCTGGTTAGTTATTTTCAGGAGTTGATATCTTGATAATCAAGACACTGTTGCACGCCTTGATCATCAACTTGTCGGCGTTGCGTACCACTTTTAACGTAACTTTAAATCTCCCTTATTTATTCCTTTCTTTTCCACTTCGGTCATATCTCCTCTTATTTCTGTAAATTTCCAAGGAGTGTAAATCCAGTGCCCTCAGCCTATCTTCGTAAATGAGATTTCTTACTATATATTTGGGATTAAGAACCCGTTTTGTTTTTCGTTCTCTAACATGGTTACCAAAATTGATCTGCGTGAAAATAGATGGCGCTGAAGTGTAGCCATGGGATTTTTATTATTTATAGATTTTTATATAAATACAAGAAATCTATTAGCCTTATTAGGAACATTTAAGATTTCTTTCTATGTGGTGCCTGCGTGTGAAGAGACGCAGGCACCACATAGAACATTTAATTAGGAGCCGTTTCGCCCTTTGGATGGGAAGCTTTATCAGTCCAGTACAGAATATGGACACACTCTTAAAACATAGTGGACAGAGATCAGGTGAATTCATCGGGGTCAGTTCCAACAAAGTGCGTGAGTCATATGTTTGTGTAGTGTGTGGTGGAGTTGAATTAATTTAAGAAGGAAACCTGATTTACTTAAAGTACCAGAGACTTGAGCCACCACGTCGGATACTGCGAGCAGGTCAGTCGCCAAAGTCGCTTGCACGAATTCTTATCTTTTAAATCCAATCTGGCGTCTTTTCATTTCACCAGGTGTTTTTTTGTGTTATGGTGCATCATGTTGGTGCTCTCTCGCTCGCTGGTCTACATTTCTGGCCGTTCTGCCCAAATATACCTTATCGTATCCGTTGTATGGGATAACATACACACCTGCGATGATTTCTAGTGTTCTGGCTGGTCTCTGTTAAGTCCCTGAAGGGAGATGACGAGCAGGTGGCCATGCTCATGTTGTGATCCAGGAGTATCTAAGTCACATTTTGTGATCCAGGAGTACCTAAGTCACATTTTGTGATCCAGGAGTATCTAAGTCACATTTTGTGATCCAGGAGTACCTAAATCACATTTTGTGATCCAGGAGTACCTAAGTCACATTGTTTACCACCTCCACAACTGGAAACACGATACAGAACACAAAGGCACACAAATAACCCGGTATAATGCGATCCTTTAATGGCAACGTTTCGTTCACATAGTGAGCTTCATCAAGAGACAAACAAATCTACCAGGGTAAATAGATGTTAGTGACTTGATAAGTCACTGTGGCGATGCGGTCGATATGTCGTGGCCCGGTGGCCTGGTGGCTAAAGCTCCCGCTTCACACACGGAGGGCCCGGGTTCGATTCCCGGCGGGTGGAAACATTTCGACACGTTTCCTTACACCTGTTGTCCTGTTCACCTAGCAGCAAATAGGTACCCGGGTGTTAGTCGACTGGTGTGGGTCGCATCCTGGGGGACAAGATTAAGGACCCCAATGGAAATAAGTTAGACAGTCCTCGATGACGCACTGACTTTCTTGGGTTATCCTGGGTGGCTAACCCTCCGGGGTTAAAAATCCGAACGAAATCTTATCTTAACTTATCTTATCCCGCAGCCAGAGAAGAAGTGTGGAAGAAAATGGTAGATAGGTAGGTAGTAGATTCGCCGGTATAATCGCCCGGCCCAGGCCTTTTCTAAGAGGTGGTCCGGTTTTGGCTCCCTTTCACGGGAGTGTCTCAGACCAATCTCTACCATGGAAGATGGTACAAGTACCTACTCCCCAGGCCTAGCCCCATTCCCCGCGGGGCTCGGAGGGAGAAGCCAGGCACCTTGGGCTGCCACAAACCCCGCCTACACTGGGCTCGAAGAGTGTGGCAGCTGCATAGCAGAAGACGACGTTAGGAGGTGCAAAGGCAGCAAGCAGTACAGGATCCTTTTCGAGCCACACCCCAGCTTAGGACATTAAACCCGAGCGCTGGGGAAGCTCAAAGAATGACTTTTGCTGTGAGAGTTGCTGCTGCTAGTTCACTTGTCCGTTGCACTTTCTCTCCGTCTCTGAAGAAAATGGTGACATGCGAAAAATTGGAAAATGTTGTTATGTGCCTCTTCGAGTAATTGAAAACTGAATGTTCTACAATGAAAATCAGACACATGTGAAACATCTGGATATCTTTATTGTAAACGTTTCGCCAACTAGTGGCTTTACCAATACAAGGACATAAGGTGAAGAATTCTATGGAAAAGATTAGATAATCAGTCCCTCAGCACCGTAGTCTTGAAGGATTCTATAAGCTTACAATGGCGTCCTCTATCTTAGTTCCTGTATCAGGATGAGTAGGAGTGTGGTAGGTCGTTCATATGGGTAAAATATAGTATAAAATACCAAGAAATGTGAAGACACATGTGCAATATTAGAATATAGAGCAGCATAGTATGGACCAGTAAGCCTGTTGCAGTGTTCCTTATGTTCTCGAGCTTATTGCTGACGTGATCGTTCCAAGAGAGACGTTGGGCTTCTGGGTTCATGGTAAACCAAAGAGTTCGTAGGCTTAGGACTGCTAGGTGCGAGGAATATTAACTTTTTTATACTGCTTTGTCATTCTTTGCTGAAATGAGCTGCGTAATCTAGGTGCAGTTAATACTACCTGTCTTGTACGTGAATGGTATACTGTACCGACAAAATGAAGAATTAGACGCATGTACAACATCTAGGTATATTTATTTGTAGACGTTTCGATCTCCTGTAGCTTTATCATTTCAATTCATGGAGATACGTAATAGGAAGACTGTACTCAATTGTATTTATAAAGCCACCGCATGGCGATACGTCTACAAATAAAGGTACCCACATATTGCATGTGTCTAATTATTCACTGCTTGACTTCATGATGGGGATTTATAGGGCCACTGACAGCTTACGCCGTATCGAGTTGCACGCTCTACCTGTCTCTCATGTGTGTGTCTGTGTGTGCAGAACGAGGAACAGGTGCTGAGTGAGGGCCCGACGCTACACCTGGTCAACATCAGAAGGGAAGACGCTGGCTACTACTTCTGCTCTGCTTCTAATGGTGTCCTGGATCCCCAGGAGCGAGCCTTTTACCTCCAGGTCAAGTGTAAGTACTCCATTGTTGTTTCGCAATATACTGAATCCATGTGAGTTATTCAGCGCAGGAGTTAGCTAAGGTTTTAGTGTAACTTTTTCTTACAAAGAACTTCTAAGTTAATTTAGGCTTACTGACAGTTCTAAAGATGCACAATTCTTGCAGTATGTTGGCCATTAATTATTAGGCAGCAGCGTAATGATGATGTCTGAGATGATTCATAAAACACACACACACACACACACACACACACACACACACGCACACACACATTACTACCACCACTACCACTACCACCGTCACTACCACCACCACTACTACCACCACCAACCTCACCTCTCATCACTCGTCCTGGTGTCAGCAGATGTGTGGGTGGAGGCTGAGGTCAGCAAGGTGGTAGTAGCCAGTGAGGAGCCGAGAGCCCTGCTGACCTGCCAGATCAAAGGTCATCCCAAGCCCAAGGTCAGTCACCCTCGTCTTAAACCTCCATTAGGTAGGTTAGTCACCCTTATCTAAAATCTCCATTAGGTAAGTTAGTCACCCTTATCTAAAATCTCCATTAGGTAAGTTAGTCACCCTTATCTAAAATCTCCATTAGGTAAGTTAGTCACCCTTATCTAAAATCTCCATTAGGTAGGTTAGTCACCCTTATCTAAAACCTCCATTAGGTAGGTTAGTCACCCTTATCTAAAACCTCCATTAGGTAGGTTAGTCACCCTTATCTAAAACCTCCATTAGGTAGGTTAGTCACCCTTATCTAAAACCTCTATTAGGTAGGTTAGTCACCCTTATCTAAAACCTCCATTAGGTAGGTTAGTCACCCTTATCTAAAACCTCCATTAGGTAAGTTAGTCACCCTTATCTTGACCTTCCACTAGATAGGTAAGTCACGAAATGAATCTAATTAGAAAATAAACGAAGAAAATAGGTTTAACAAGAGATCATACTAATTAAATAGGTAATTTATAGTACACAATTCCACAGTTCATGCAAGGAAAAAATAAAAACCAATTGTAAAAATGGCCAAAAAGAGAGACCAGAAATTGTTACTGAACTCGACTCACGAAATCGTAATGACACGATTGCAAACAAACCTTACCACGGACGGGGATAGAACTCGCGATCAGAGAGTGTCAAAACTCCAGACCGTCGCGTTAGCCACTGGACCAGCTAGCCACAATAAGATTCATCCAACTAGGTATATTATTGTGGCTAGCTGGTCCAGTGGCTAACGCGACGGTCTGGAGTTTTGAGACTCTCTGACCGCGGGTTCTATCCCCACCCGTGGCATGGATTGTTACTGAACATAAGAGACCAAACACAAAATGTAGGCAGAAATGAAAGTAAGAGTTTCTATATTTTGACCTTTTCCTTTAGTGTTCCATGTGGGTTGGCTGCTGCCATTGACACGTGTTCTTTTAACTCTGACCATAAGAACATAAGGAGGAACACTGCAGGAGGCCTACTGGCCCATACTAGACAGGTCTTTCTCCAACCCAAATCCACTAACAAAAATATTTGCTGAACCTATTTTCAGTGCTACCTAAGGAATAAGTCTAATTGATGAGGTCTTAATCCACCGGGAGGCCTGGTCATGGACCGGGCCGCGGGGGCGTTGATCCCCGTAATACCTTCCAGGTAGACTTCAGATAACCTTATTAACTCAGGTATGAGTTCCACTTAAATCCAACTCCCTTTCACTCATGTATTTGTTGTCTCAAAATTCACAAACTGTAGTTTGACAGATGTCAGTTTTGACTCAGACCGTGCAGGTAAAGTTACCTGAATTAGTATTACTGTTGAACAAGTGTAATGTTGAGTGTGTGGTTTCAGGTAACCTGGTACACGGACGAGGGACCTGTATATAACGATACAGGGCATTACTTCTTCTCCAAGGACGACCTCTACTACCTCCAGGTAATACTCTCATTACTACCTCCAGGTAGTAATAAAGTGGGTAGAATTACCGACAATATGTAAAGTAAAAGGACACAAGTGCAACTAATGTGACATTTATTGTGGCAACGTTTCGCTCTCCAGGAGCTTTATCAAGCCATTACAAACAATACATGGACACAGAGGGTATATAAAGGCTCAGAGTGAGGTGAATACTAGTGAGGTACCATTTCGATGTTCACTAGTGGTAGTAGTAGTAGTGGTAGTGACAAAAGTAATACAATATGGTGGAGCAATTAATTTGTACATGAGTAAAAGGATATAAAAGCTATTACTTGGGTAACATAAAAATAGGTTGGACAAATATAAACTGGAATGAGGCGGCTTGTTTCAGTGTTCACTCTCTGTGCTTTGTGTAGTATAACAGGAGAGACTATGTGATGGCAGGGTTTACTGTTTTCAGGAGGATTCTTGCTAAGACTTCGGAGATGGTGAAGCTGCCGTTGTTTTGTTTAATTGTATTTGAAACAGCGATCAGTGCTGATTCAAGGCACTTGCGTGTGCGGAAATTAGTTTCTTTTATCACTAATTGGGCGTCTCTGAATTTCATAAGATGATTGGTGGAATTTCGGTGTTGTACACAGGCGTTGTTTAAGTTGTCGTTCCTACATGCGTATATGTGTTCATTGAGGCGGGTGTCGAGGTTTCTTGCTGTTTCACCTACGTAGATCTTGTCACAGCCTCCACAGGGTATGGTGTAAACTCCTGCATTGACTGGTTCGTGGTGCTTGGGTTTTGTCCTGGTTAGATCCTTTATTGAAGTGGTAGAAGCGATGGCGACTCTGGTGTTAGCTTGTGAAAGTACTTTTGAGACGTTTAGTGCAACCTGGCTGTTGGGAAGAATTATAACTTTGTTGGGAGCGGTGTTGATGCGTGGAGAATTGATGATCTGAAGAGCTCTTTTCTTGCAGTCTTTGATGAAAAAAGAAGGAAATTGTAACTCAGTGAATGTTTGGTGAATGTAAGTACATTCCTCGTCAAGAAACTCAGGAATACAAATTCGGTATGCTCTTAGGAAAAACCCGATGATGATGCCTCTTTTGGTCTTGGTATCTTGACTGGAATAGAAGTGTGTGAGATCATTTTTATTGGTGGGTTTCCGATAAACTTGAAATCTTAGGTTGTTGTCTACTTTGTGAATGAGGACGTCGAGGAAAGGTAGCTTGTCATTGGACTCTTCTTCTAGTGTAAACTGAATCGCTGGTTCAACTGCGTTGAGCCTTGCCTGAAGATCCCGTACATCAAAACGTTTTGGAGTTATTACGAGGATATCGTCCACGTAACGTAACCAAGTGACGCTTGAAGGGATGATGTTGGCGAAGTGTTCGGACTCTAGGTGTTCCATGTATAGGTTGGCTAGGACGGCACTTATTGGGGACCCATTCCCATGCCGTAGGTTTGTTTGTAGAGCTTGTTATTGAAGGAAAAACAGTTGAAGTTAACACAGAGTTCAATCAAGTCAACAAAATCTCCGGGAGGTAAAGGAAGATTAAGGTCCTGGTTGACTATACGTCGTAGAACCTCGATGGCTTTTTTGGTAGGTACTTTTGTGAAGAGGGAAGTCACATCCAAACTGCTTAGTTTCTTGTTACGGATGGAGAGGTTACGGATGCGGTTGAGAAGGTCGCCTGAGTGTTTAAGATGAGCGGGGCTGATGGTCCCCAGAAGGCAGGAAAGATGTTTGGCAAGAACTCCGGCTAGTTTGTGTGGAGCACTGCCTATACCTGACGTGATTGGTCTGAGAGGAATATTGTGTTTATGGGTCTTGGGTAAACCATACATGTGTGCTGGTTTAGGGTTGCTTGGTAACAAGTACAGAAGTTTCTTCCCTTCTCTAGTGCGTTTGAGTATTTGTCTGGTTTTGTATAGAAAGTCTTTGGTGAGCGTCTCCCACTGTTGAGTGCTGATGGGTTCGTATGTAGATTGATCAAACTCAATCGCAAACTTCAGTACCTCTGCACTAACAGTCGATGGAAGGAAATGGGACGCGAATCCCTGATAAACAACTTATCGTCACGCACCTTAACCGACTACGAGAAACAAGCACTGAGTCTGGGACTCAAATTTACCACCAACATACGCAAACCTAACTATCAACTCAATCTTGTTACCAGGAACCATAGACACAGTGACAGCAACTTCCAGAAGGGTTATATACAGGGCCTTCTCACTGCAGCTTTATGTGAACCTTCTTCTTCTAATCTTCCTAGAAGATACATCACTGCCCTTAAGGACCTCGCCAACGACCCCAACATTATCGTCACCACCGCCGACAAAGGAGGTGGAGTCGTCATACTCAACACCAGTGACTACAACACTAAAATGATGGGCCTTTTGAATGATCAATCTACATACGAACCCATCAGCACTCAACAGTGGGAGACGCTCACCAAAGACTTTCTATACAAAACCAGACAAATACTCAAACGCACTAGAGAAGGGAAGAAACTTCTGTACTTGTTACCAAGCAACCCTAAACCAGCACACATGTATGGTTTACCCAAGACCCATAAACACAATATTCCTCTCAGACCAATCACGTCAGGTATAGGCAGTGCTCCACACAAACTAGCCGGAGTTCTTGCCAAACATCTTTCCTGCCTTCTGGGGACCATCAGCCCCGCTCATCTTAAACACTCAGGCGACCTTCTCAACCGCATCCGTAACCTCTCCATCCGTAACAAGAAACTAAGCAGTTTGGATGTGACTTCCCTCTTCACAAAAGTACCTACCAAAAAAGCCATCGAGGTTCTACGACGTAAAGTCAACCAGGACCTTAATCTTCCTTTACCTCCCGGAGATTTTGTTGACTTGATTGAACTCTGTGTTAACTTCAACTGTTTTTCCTTCAATAACAAGCTCTACAAACAAACCTACGGCATGGGAATGGGGTCCCCAATAAGTGCCGTCCTAGCCAACCTATACATGGAACACCTAGAGTCCGAACACTTCGCCAACATCATCCCTTCAAGCATCACTTGGTTACGTTACGTGGACGATATCCTCGTAATAACTCCAAAACGTTTTGATGTACGGGATCTTCAGGCAAGGCTCAACGCAGTTGAACCAGCGATTCAGTTTACACTAGAAGAAGAGTCCAATGACAAGCTACCTTTCCTCGACGTCCTCATTCACAAAGTAGACAACAACCTAAGATTTCAAGTTTATCGGAAACCCACCAATAAAATGATCTCACACACTTCTATTCCAGTCAAGATACCAAGACCAAAAGAGGCATCATCATCGGGTTTTTCCTAAGAGCATACCGAATTTGTAGTCCTGAGTTTCTTGACGAGGAATGTACTTACATTCACCAAACATTCACTGAGTTACAATTTCCTTCTTTTTTCATCAAAGACTGCAAGAAAAGAGCTCTTCAGATCATCAATTCTCCACGCATCAACACCGCTCCCAACAAAGTTATAATTCTTCCCAACAGCCAGGTTGCACTAAACGTCTCAAAAGTACTTTCACAAGCTAACACCAGAGTCGCCATCGCTTCTACCACTTCAATAAAGGATCTAACCAGGACAAAACCCAAGCACCACGAACCAGTCAATGCAGGAGTTTACACCATACCCTGTGGAGGCTGTGACAAGATCTACGTAGGTGAAACAGCAAGAAACCTCGACACCCGCCTCAATGAACACATATACGCATGTAGGAACGACAACTTAAACAACGCCTGTGTACAACACCGAAATTCCACCAATCATCTTATGAAATTCAGAGACGCCCAATTAGTGATAAAAGAAACTAATTTCCGCACACGCAAGTGCCTTGAATCAGCACTGATCGCTGTTTCAAATACAATTAAACAAAACAACGGCAGCTTCACCATCTCCGAAGTCTTAGCAAGAATCCTCCTGAAAACAGTAAACCCTGCCATCACATAGTCTCTCCTGTTATACTACACAAAGCACAGAGAGTGAACACTGAAACAAGCCGCCTCATTCCAGTTTATATTTGTCCAACCTATTTTTATGTTACCCAAGTAATAGCTTTTATATCCTTTTACTCATGTACAAATTAATTGCTCCACCATATTGTATTACTTTTGTCACTACCACTACTACTACTACCACTAGTGAACATCGAAATGGTACCTCACTAGTATTCACCTCACTCTGAGCCTTTATATACCCTCTGTGTCCATGTATTGTTTGTAATGGCTTGATAAAGCTCCTGGAGAGCGAAACGTTGCCACAATAAATGTCACATTAGTTGCACTTGTGTCCTTTTACTTTACCTCCAGGTAATACCCTCATTACTACCTCCAGGTAATACTCTCATTACTACCTGCAGGTAATACCCTCATTACTACCTCCAGGTAATACCCTCATTACTACCTCCAGGTAATACCCTCATTACTACCTCCAGGTATTACCTTCATTACTAACTCCAGGTAATACCCTCATTACTACCTCCAGGTAATACCTTCATTACTAACTCCAGGTAATACCCTCATTACTACCTCCAGGTAATACCCTCATTACTACCTCCAGGTAATACCCTCATTACTACCTCCAGGTAATACCCTCATTACTACCTCCAGGTAATACCCTCATTACTACCTCCAGGTAATACCCTCATTACTACCTCCAGGTAATACCCTCATTACTACCTCCAGTTAATACCCTCATTACTACCTCCAGGTAATACCCTCATTACTACCTCCAGGTAATACCCTCATTACTACCGCCAGGTAATACCCTCATTACTACCTCCAGGTAATACCCTCATTACTACCTCCAGGTAATACCCTCATTACTACCTCCAGGTAATACCCTCATTACTACCTCCAGGTAATACCCTCATTACTACCTCCAGGTAATACCCTCATTACTACCTCCAGTTAATACCCTCATTACTACCTCCAGGTAATACCCTCGTTACTACCTCCAGGTAATACCCTCATTACTACCGCCAGGTAATACCCTCATTACTACCTCCAGGTAATA